ACACAGAAGTTGATGATGAAGAAACTGATGTTGATACTGGTATAAGAACAAAGTGTGAATCCAAACCTAAAGTAACTTTTGGACCAGTTGATTCTATTACTTCACAAACCACAAAAAGTGAAGGATGTGTAAATGAGCCCCTGGAAAATACAGCAGAAATTGTTAAAACACAAGATGGAAAGGTATATTCTGATCCCTATGTAGCTTATCAAACTTCAGAGGTAAAGGATAGTAGTGTGCTGATATCTGGAGAGAAAAACAGAAAAGCCAGTGATTTTTTTTTTCAATTTTCAAAACAACCTGTGGCTTTCTAATGGGGAAAATATTATAAGCGCAATTAATCAGAAAATGAGAAAATCAAATTCCATCAACTGAGAATTGAAATTCAATTTTACATGCATGGTACATAGCAGAAGCTATCTATAGGGACAGCTTTTTGTCTTCTGCCTGAAAGTCAGCTGCTGTTAAGTCAATTGGTTCTGGTGAAAAATTTGCACAGGGCATTTTAGGGGAAAATATTAGCATTTTTAGGGGAAAATAAAGCTCTTTTGGGCTAGGGGAACCAGCCTTTATTTGGCTGTAAAATACAGGGGAAAAATCACTGAAAGCTAAATTGATTTTCTTTGATGAACTCGTATTAAACTTTACCAGAGAGTGCAAATGAATGATTTGGAAAGATATAAATGAAAACACTGTTACATTTTTAAAGTTTTTTACTTTTTGAAATGACCTATGAAAAGTCATTCTGCCTCTTGAACACTATTTTATTCACTAAAAACATAACTAAATAAAAGATTATTCTTATTTTCTATTTATTAAAGAAATGGAGGAACAATGTGTCTATAATGGGAAAAATTTTTTTTAAAGATTTATTTAAATTATTTATATCAAGATATTATCTTTGTTTGTATACAATTCACAGACATTTTTCTAGTATTAGCTATTTCAGAATTCAAACTGCATAAGGGCAGCAAAATTATTTTAACATTTTTTTTTATAATTAACTTAACATAAAAACATCATATATTTCTGATGATACATTATAAAAGGTGCCTGAGATCACTGTCAAGTTGAATGATTCACTCTTGAATTTTTTATCACTTAAAATTAAAGATTTGTGAGCATTACCTTGAATTTCTGAACTAGATGTAATTATAGAAACACAGATAAGGTCAGACTTTTTTTAAAACTTAATTGCAGGCATAATTCTAGTGTATTCATATGCAAAATAAATTGAAAAGATATTAATTAACACTTTGTAAAATAACAAAACCTAAGTTATATTTGCTTCAAGACTACATGATATATTATCTTACTATCAGGAAGGTGAATTGGGGAAGATATCAAGCTTCAAAAATGTTTATAATCAACAAAAGATATGATATTATCACTTTGTACAATAACAAAACCTACATTTTATTTTGCTTCAAGACTACATGATATATTATTGAACTTTCAGGAAGGTGAGTTTGGGATTACTCTGAAAAGGTCGGGATCTAAACAAAATTATGAAACAGATAAATTTGTACATGGTGCACAAAAGGTTTTATCCCAAATTGGGGCATTCCAGACATTAGAAGAGTCACAAGAACACCTTCGTGTTACAGACGAGGTATAACTGTAGATCATTTATAAAAGATATTTTTTTATTTCATAAATAGATCAATAATACTATGTTGCTTTAGAATTAAGTCTTGATAAGTTCTCTCACACAGAGTTCCAAAAAAAATCATAATTAAACTTAATATATTGCAAAATTATGGGAAGACCTAGTGTCAGATTGCTTCTGGACCTGCTAGGGTCAAGGTCACTCATACTAAAAATAATTTATGCTTTGACAGAACAACATTAATGACTAAAATTTCAATAATTAAAATATGACCTTGACTTTTGAATGACCTTCACCCAATAAGGGTCTTTAGTATTAAAGAAAAACCAAGACCATGGCACTTGCTTGCGATGACTTTTGTTGGGACCTGATTTTGTGGCATTGCCATGTTTCTTGTCATATATAGTCACCTTAGTGCAGAAACAGATTAAATCCTTCTGGATTTAATAGGAGTTAATCAGTTATTGATTCCTTAAGCTGGCAGGCAGATGGTTTTTTGAGTTTGCAATTACATGTTTGAAAAAATGTAGAATTTATGAGCATAGTGCTTATAATCTGCATTATTGGTTTCATTGAAAATTGAAAATTTTACAGAGTTGGGTAACTTAGTTTTTATAAACTGTATTACATTGATTTTCTATATAGTAAATTTCATTTTGAAGCTCAATTGAAATATATAATAATTACTTTATTCAGAGAAAGACAAGTTCAAGTCACTCTTCAAAGTTGTTTTATCGGTCTAAAGAACCAGTGGCTGGTACCAGCAAAACTGTAGCGGATGCTGGAAGCCAATCTTTAACTCTGACCACTCCAAAACAAACACATTCTTTAAGCAAGCAATCCGTATACAACAGATTACACACAGAAGATGATCATGAAGAAACTGATATTGATACTGGTATAAGAACAAAGTGTGAATCCAAACCTAAAGTAACTTTTGAAGTAGTTGATTCTATTACTTCACAAACCACAAAAAGTGAAGGATTTGTAAATAAGCCACTGGATAATACAGAAGAAATTGTTAATACACAAGATGGAAAGGTATATTCTGATCCCAATGTAGCTAATTATCAAACTTCAGAGGAAATGAGGTCATCTCCAGAAATTTGTATAGATCCGACAATAGCAGCTGGTAATTTGTCACCAGATCACATGGCCTCAAAATCTAACGCAGGTGAGTCTGATGTTGATCTAGTGAAAGAAGATGAAGAAGAGGAAACTGTTGCTACTGGAAATGAGCTGGACGAGGATAATTCAGACTCTGTTGATCCAGTCAAATCTGAAATCAAACCTGAAAAGGTACATATGATAATCAGACTAGATGCATGTACATATGTATAACATAATATTATAATACAGAGAACATTATATTGTATAGACATTTTCCAAGCTGAAACCCAGATCTAAGGTATTTGATTGATCAGAAACTAGCACAGAATGTGCACTGACCAATGAAAATCCTGCGATCTGAGACAGATCTCGTAACAAGATTTAGAACCTGGAGGCCAGGCTTTATAATAGCTTTATTAGCCTGAGTCCTTTAAAGCCCTCAGTCACTCAGCATGCCTACAGATTTGTGCTTAAATTTTGATATAATTTTTGAAAAAAAATTAGGAAGTAGATTGTACATGATTTCTTTTAAAGTGTACATTTAAATATTGTATCACCTATAATTAGGCTGCACTTAATATCCACAGAGTTCACATATAACTTCAAAATTATGCAGAAATACAGCAGCTGCTGATTATAGTAACTGGATAAAATCCACTCATTCTGTTAAACATAATATTTTGCAAAACAAATGCAGGAAAATAACTGTATGATTGTGAATTATTATAATTTAAATTTTTCATATTATCTCGCTAAATTGAAATTCAAAAGTTGAATGAGGAATGTAAAGTTAAATTATTTCAAAAGATAAATTTTTGAATAATATGACTATATGAATAGTATGTCAATCACATTGGAAGATATTTTTATTGCATGATCAAGTTAAGTTTAAATATTAAATGATTTAACAACAATAGTTCTAACATGCCTCAGAGTATAGAGAGCAATATTGCATACACATGCCAATCTTTTTTAAGAGACCATCAAAATATTAAATTATTTATATACTGTTCAAATTAATTGGCACTGTGGTTTTATCTGTGAAAAGAAATTCTTATTACCAGTAGATTATTCTTTGTAATTTCAACATTAAGAAAAGAAAAGTGCGTTGCATGAAAACGTGATATGGTCTTTTTGAGGATGGAAATATAGCCGAATTTCAACCCAAAGTTGGCCATAAAAATGTACTGAAGATGGACCTACCACTAGACAATAAAAGCTAATGTATGCAAGTCATGTAAAAGACATTACCTATAATTTTTGATAAATTGACCTGAGTTCAATTTTTACCTGTTTTGTCATATATAGAAGTGGTTCTAATAAAGTAAATTTATCTCTTTTTTTCACTCAGGAGGTTAAAAGTAAACTATGTCCTGAGGATGTTGTGTATGGGAAAGAAGCCTTGAAACATTATAAATTCTATGTACAGGTCAGTAATATATAAAGATGTATACACTTCATTTATTCTCTTCCTTAGATAAAAACAAAGGACTGAACAAAATTTTTCAGTCAGTAAGAGTCTTGCTTAAAGCCTTTTTTGGGGACATTTTCAGAAAGAGAATGATTTTCAATGTGAAAAAAATATTACTGTTCACTTTTCAAAACTACTACATGTACTACTCTATGCATTAAACTTCAAATTTCCATCCACTGGGTACTTTATTATATATATGCAACTTAAGATTTGTCAAAAACTATGACTATGTTATCAAAATTGATGAAGTTTGTGAAAATACTGAAAAAAAGTGTGTCAGGAAAAACTCAGACTTCTTCTTTCATTAAAAAATAGACTGCCCCTTTTTCTCATCATTGTAAGGTAATAAAAGAGATACCTGGTACTCAAATAATTTCCATGTCCTAAAGTTGGTCAGTGCCTGCAGCTAAGCTAAATATATTCTAAACTTCATAAGGGTCACAGTGAAAGACTGAAATCTTTATTTAGCAATTAAACATCAACACCAGAACCATATTGCTAATTTAATGTCTGAATTGCAAATATCCAAGTGTCTGAGTAAGCGTTACAGCCCAAAATGCCTGAAATAATATTATCATTTAATGCCAAGACAGACTTCTGGGATCAAACTAAATAGGAAATTGTGAGAAAAAAAACTGTGGTGTAATTTAAATTCATGAAACCAACAAAATTTTAGCTATGTAAATAGTTGTTACCGATAATTTTGTGTTTACAGATAGAAAGAAAAAGTAGAGAAACAAAGATTGAAAAGATGAAAATTAACAAACTCAAGGAGTATGACTTGGAAATTTCTGCCATAATGAAATGTTGCAATGGCTAAAGGTAGGGGAAGTAATCTATGTATATCTTTTGATGCTTAAATATGAAAAGGTTGATACTCACACCTGCTTCTCTCAAGATCTGGACATTGTCTTTTTTTGGCAGAAATAAATTTTATTTACCGTAAAATTCCTATTAAACACTACTCCCCTAATAAAAGCCCACACCCCAACCCTCCCCCCCCCCCCCCCCATTGTCCCCCAGGTTTTTTGATATGGAAAAAATCATCTCATCAGTGCTGAATAAATGAGTTAGTAAATCCATAAGTTTATTTGAATCCCCCATTTTATTTTACAGTTAACACAAAATTGTATCATATAAACTTAAAACCTTAACACTTTTTAAAAGTTCTTGCCAACACAGTTGCTCACTCTAAATTTTAATGTATCAACAAAGATTTTTGGATTTAGGAAAAACTGTTTAGCCCCTGGGAGCCTTCAATAGGAATTTTACGGTACATCTGGATATATTTCTTTGACTAAATGACCTATTGGTTTTAGTAATGAATTTGGTTTTCATTGTCACATTTTCTCAATTTTTGTTTAAGTCTGGATTTAAATATGTAATGATTTCTTTTTTATTGTAAAGTATTAGACTTTACAAGGTTAACCCTGTTTTGTCTACAGTGTTTTTGAATTTGAATGAAAAATAAACATACATGTTCTAATAATTTTAGAACAACATTATTTTTTTTACACATTTTTTTTAAAACACTAAAATTGATTTTATGACTGATTATATCTCTAAATATTTAAGTTTTTTGTTGTTTTTTTTTATTTTAAACAGTTACTTAAATATTTTCTTTCATTAACCAATTATTATTTACCATAAGTAAGACCCATTTCTATGGTTTAGATTATCATCCAAGCCCAGTGATCTCTCATGGAATTATCGAAGCTTTAATATGATCCAATAAGCATAAAGAATGGTGGTGGTTCAACTTTTGTGCGCACTTGGCTTAAATTAATTACCAGTGCACCTGAGGTTTTCTTCCACTTGTGAAGCTGGAATGTATCTTTCTATACAACATTTATTGGAGAGTGTTGGAGTGACTGATTATACTAATAGTCTGAAAAAAAAGTAAAGTGAATCATTCTTTTTATATAGATTATTACATGAACCCGAACTCTAAGAACGCTGCCCGATGGAAGGCGTTAAAGAGGAATGTGAAGAAAAGTAGTAGTCACCAGATAGGACATACAGAACATCGCCGGAAACTCGGCTCACTACCTGATTACCTGCCGCTCTTTACATATTTCATTATATTTGTAAGTAATTGATGATTATCTGAATTTTAGCTGACAAGAGTTACATTTTTTTTTTTTTTTTTTTTTTTTATAATTGTAATTCCAGTATCAGTCACAGACATTCATTTTCAACTCACAGATGCAAAAATGGAAATATTAAACTAGTTTCTGACTAAATAATTTTAAAGTTAAACTGAAGCAATTATGTTAAAGAATTGCATGAAAAGTTACTCTTTCATGGTATTGTCAGATTTGTACTTATAAACAATAATTAATCTCCTTTTAAACAGCTTTTGTTCTAGAATAATAATTTTCTTTTACTTAAAAAGGTTAAGCTATATAGTGACAAAAAAAACCCCACTTAGATCTGCTTCCATCAGTGAAATTGTCATATACCGGAACTTGATTGTGACCCAAATTCCAGTAAAAACCATGATCCCTTAGGATTATATTGACATAAAAGATTGACTTTAACCACACCTGTACGAAATTTTACTCCTGTAATTTTGCCTAAAATACACCTGTTTTTCTGTTAAAAATTACAGCTGTATTTTCTTCAGTTTTGATAAACATATAGCAAATTACACCTGTTTTTTCAAAAATACACCGTGTTTTACACTGTACTATGAACGAAATATGCAAATTAACCGTTTTTTTCGAGTGTAGGACAAAAAGCGCCCCCCCCCCAAACCCCCCCCCCCCCCCCCCGGACGAAAGCCCCCGTCTAAAAATGACAAGGTGGACAAAAGCCCCCCATGAATTTCCACATAGGACAAAAGCCCCCCCATAAAAAAGTAAAGGTAGGACAAAAAGCCCCCCCCCCCCCATGGTCCATCACATTTACATTTAGTGTAAATGAATTGATATCTGCCTTTTTTCAATTAATTTGGTTATTTTGTGTGCCATGTCACAATGTTATCAGACTCAACTTAATGTGAACATTTCTGAAACTGAACTGTAGCAGAGACTGTGAGAATATTTATCAATAAGTGTGCTTTATTTCATCCATGTGCTCTTCATATTCATGTTTGTAATATTTTTAAGTATGTATGTATTAATGTTGTGTTTTTTATGTGTTTAATAATATGTATGGACATCAAATGTAGGTGACATAGTGCTAAGGATTAAAGTGATTAAACATTACTACTCTTCTGACGCTTCTTGTGTATATGAAAAGCTATGATTCAGTATCGCATGCATGCATTATTTCATCTGTTATCATACTTTGTTAACACTTCAATATATACATTATTAATAAACATTAAAACAAATTCTTTTCATTTTTATACGCCCGTTTGAAAAAGGGACGTATTATGGGAACGCCCCTGGGGCGGTCGGCGGCGGGTGGGCGGGCGGCGCGGCGGCGTCCAATTTTGTCCGGAGCATATCTCCTACATGTATGGAGGGATTTTAATGAAACTTCATATAAATGTTCACCACTATGAGAGCAGTGTCGCGCACATGAAGCAGGTCTCTAGGTCAAAGGTCAAGGTCACACTTAGAGCTCATTGAAAAATGCTTGTCCGGAGCAAAACTTCCACATGTATAGAGGGATTTCAATATTACTTGGCACAAATGTTCACCATTGTGAGGCGGAGTGTCGCGTGCAAGATTCAGGTCCTTCGGCCAAGGTCAAGGTCACACATAGAGGTCAAAGTTCAGATAAAAATATGAAGATGTGTATATGGACCATTTAGTCATCATTTATTGAGGGATTGTAACACAAATGGTCATTATCAAGACTATGGCTGTGATACATATAATTTAGGTCAATATATACAAGGTCAAGGTCACTAAAGATGATTGAAATATCCAGATTTTGTAAATAGAATTAATCAAAGGGAGACAACAAAGTTATTACTTTGTTCATAAATGACTTACACAATTACTCCCCTTGATCTTTTTTCACATTCAATTCTAAAAAATAGAATTTAATCAAAGGGCATGAAAATAATCCTCCTTTCTTGGACTTGAGTATGATTGTAAAGAATGTAACATTTATTTACACATGTTTCATTCATTGGTCAAGATTCTTAACTGTGATAACTATGGTGTTCTGTAGACTTGGTATTTGTTCATAAAGATCATACAGTAATTACCTTATCAAATGTAAATACTTTCTCATAGAAATTTAATTATATTTTAATTTTCAAGTAAATATCAGTTCAGCTCATTCAAAGATTAAGAATTGTTATGAAATGTATTTCCCTAGAATAAAATCTTAAATCAGAATTTTTTATGCCCCCGCCATGTAATGGCCGGGGCATATAGTGTTACCCTGTTCCGTCCTTCCGTCCTTCCGTCATTCCGTCCTTCCGTCATTCCGTCATTCTGTCATTCCGTCATCATCAGTTTCCGTTCATTATCTTAGTAAGGGTTGCACACATTCAACTCAAATTTGACATATGGATATGTCGTGAGAAAATACAGGTCAAGTTCGAATTTGGTCATGGTTCGATGATTTTTGGCAGAGTTATGCCCCTTTTACTTTAAAATTAATATGAAATTTTCAGTTTCCGTTCATTATCTCCCCAATGGTACAACACATTCAATTCAAACTTGACATATGGATATGTCATGAGAAAATACAGGTCAAGTTCGAATTTGGTCATGGTTCAATGATTTTTGGCAGAGTTATGCCCCTTTTACTTTGAAAAATAATATGAAATTTTCAGTTTCCGTTCATTATCTCCCCAACAGTACAACACATTCAAACTCAAAATTTGACATATGGATATGTCGTGAGAAAATACAGGTCAAGTTCGAATTTGGTCATGGTTCAATGATTTTTGGCAGAGTTATGCCCCTTTTCACTTTGGAAATAATATGAAATTTTCAGTTTCCGGTCATTATCTCCCCAATGGTACAACACTTTTTAACTCAAACTTGACATATGGATACATCACAGGAATGCGCAAGTCAAGTTCAAAGTTGGTTATGGTTTCATGATTTTTGGCAGAGTTATGCCCCTTTCACTTTGAAAATAATATGAAATTTTCAGTTTCTGTTTATTATCTCCCCAATGGTACAACACATTCAACTCAAATTTGACATATGGATATGTTTTTGGAATGCCCAGGCCAAGTTGGAATTTGGTCATGGTTCAATGATTTTTGGCAGAGTAATGCCCCTTTCACTTTGAAATAATATGAAATTTACAGTTTTCTTTCATTATCTACCCAACTACTCAAATTTACATATGGATATGTCAAAGGAATGGGCAGGTCAAGTTTGAATTTGGTCATGGTTTCGATGACTTTTTGGCAGAGTTATGTCCCTTTCACTTTGAAAATAATATAGATACATCTTAGGAATAAGCAGTTTAAGTTTGAATTTGGTCGTGGTTCAATGATTTTGGACAAACTTATCTCTTCTTGAATGTTGTAAAAATTTTGAACTTTCAGTTTCAGCACTGAAATGTATGTAGCCAATGCCCATTATTTTGGCTACAAATATGAAATATGCTATTTTCAAAAGGTTTAGACTGAATAATTTCAGTGCCTTGAACATTGTATGAAAATGGTTTGTGTTAACATTGAAAAGTTTTAAGGGCTTTGAACTTAAAATGAAAAAAATTATTTGTGCAAACAAATTTGGAACTAAATATTATAACATCTGAAATTTTGGCTGCATGCGGGGGCATCCGTGGCATGATGACACATTTCTAGTTTGTTATTAAATTACATGTACTTTTTATACGCCCGTTTAAAAAAAGATAAAAATAGGAAGATGTGTAAAGGGACGATTTAATCATCATTTATTGAGGGATTGTAACACAAATGGTCATTATAATGACTACGGCTGTGACACATGTACTTTAGGTCAATATATGCAAGGTCAAGGTCACTAAAGATGGTGAAATATCCAGATTTTGTCTGGAGCATATCTCCTACATGTATGGAAGAATTTTTATAATACTTTATGGAAATGTTCACCACCATGATATGTATTGCTCCATGCATGATCCAGGTCTCCAGGTCAAAGGTCAAGGTCACACTTAGAGCTCATTGAAAAACGCTTGTCCGGAGCAAAACTTCTACATTCATAGGGGGTTTTCAATATAACTTGGCACAAATGTTCACCATTGTGAGGCTGAGTGTCGCATGCAAAATTCAGATCCCTGCGACCAAAGTCAAGGTTACACATAGAGGTCAAAGTTCAGATAAAAATTTGAAGATGGTTATAGGGACCATTTAGTCATCATTTATTGATGGATTGTAGCACAAATGGTAACTATCATGACTACAGGTGTTACACATTTAATTTAGGTTAATATTTGCAAGGTCAAGGTCACTGGAGATGATTAAATATCCAGATGTTGTCCGGAGCATATTTTCTACATGCATGGAGGAATTTTAATGTTACTTTTATAGAATTGTTCACCACCATGAGACGTAGTGCCCTGTCTCTAGGTCAAAGGTGAAGGTCACAGTTAGAGCCCATAGAAAAACACTTGTCTGGAGCAAAACTTCTACATGCATAGAGGGATTTCAATATAATTTGGCACAAATGTTCATCATTGTGAGGCTGAGTGCTGTGCATAAAATTCAGGTCCCTGCGACCAAGGTCAAGGTCACACATTCTGTGCATATCTTCCCTATTGATTTGTTTTAAGGTTCATTTAACAACACAGTGCCAAGAATAAAAACTTGCTTGCTAGATAACACTTATCCATAATGCCCCCATCTCCATCTAAAGCTTTTTCGTAAACGGGCGTATTTTGTGACTATGGCACCCTTGTTATTAATTCATTTACACTATATGTAAATGTGATGGACCATGGGGGGGCTTTTGTCCTACCTTTACTTTTTTATGGGGGGGCTTTTGTCCTATGTGGAAAATTTATTGGGGGGCTTTTGTCCACCTTGTCATTTTTAGATGGGGGGCTTTCGTCCGGGGGGGGGGGGGGGGTTGGGGCTTTTGTACGTATCCAGTTTTTTTCTACAGGTCGAAAATACAGTTGTACTGTTTTACAGCTCTTTAGATACAGGTGTAAAATTTTACAGGTCTAAAAAAAAAATACAGGTGTAAAATTTTTTAGCTCAAAAATACAGGTGTAAAATTTTACAGGTCAAAAATAAAATACAGGTGCCCTTATTGTTTAAGGGATGAAAACCACACATAAATGCAGACATATTTGGCATGTTTGGTGCAAATATCATTTTCATTGGGATAAATACACTTTGGTCAGAAATTTTGTGCATTTGTTGCTTCTCAATCTTTAAAAATAAGAAATGGTTGAGGAAAAAAATATCTTTTTACAAGATTTAGGTACAAATAGCAGACATTATACAATCACAATAGTTCACAATGGCACTCTGTGCTAAGGTGAGCGGAAATATCACTGAACTAGAATCACTATCACTAAAGATGGGGATAAATATAACACATTTTCACTTTGTCTTCAATGGATTACTATCTTTTATTACATTCTGTTACAGTCTTACACTACTGATACTGCATCAATAAAATCCAAGTCATGAATAACACGTCTAGACCAGTTGGTTTTTGTTTTTATTTTAATTTTCACTCAGGCAGATATAATATTATGTAAAGTTGTAATGATTTATGCTGGGTTATATCATGATATACCGCTGTCCTTGAATATTATTGCGGTCAAACTATTCACACATTTTTGTTGACTCTATATTAGGCTCAGTTGGTTTCTTTCATCGTAATATATGGTCTACATGGGGTAACATTGATTGGTGTAGAGCCAAAACTTACAGTGGAGTCTGGTATACAGACTTTCATGGGCATGGAGACCATACACAAGTGGACAGCACCAAATGTTTGGATAGGTCCAAGTGAAAAGAGCTTGATAGGTAGGTAATGCTTCTTGTCATTCTTTTTTTCCTATGGAAAGTTTACATTTTCTTTTCTTGTGAAATTGAATTCGTTAAACTGTCAATTGTATCATACTAATTGATTAAACATCGTAAACAATAATTACAGTGGTTTTCTGAGACTGTGAGAAATAATTTTTTCTATTACAGGAGTGGGTGGTGTATTTGCACCATGTATGAGAACAGATCTACAGCTTCAGTTTGAACAATCTAAACAGAACTACAGCACTGACACACCACTAGGATGTTGTGAGGTCTCTACCAGAAATGTAGCGGGTACCACAACACAGGCTGAGTGTGACAATCTTACTGAAGGTATGTCTTATAATCTCCATGAAATCTTTTCTTTAGGTGAATATGATCAATCTGACTCTACCCAGGTATTAAATATTTGATGTGAAAATACCTTCCACAGACCTCAATAGACCTCTATTATTGCTAAAATGGATAGGGTTTCAGTTCAATTGACTTATAATACCTAGGTTGCCGAGGATTAAAAAAAGGTCCTCCTACTTTTCTAAAGCAGGCCAAATGTTTTTAGCTTTGCTAAAATGATATTATGGAAAAACATCTATTTAAAGTTACTGCTATTCTTATATATAAATAGTCATCAGATTTTAATGAGTATAGTCATTTATGGTTTTTGTTTCATTGTTGACAAGTGCCTTATTTGATGTCTAAAGGCTTTCTTAAAAGCAAAATAATTCAAATTGAATTGTGTCCTATATGGATGTAATTAAAAGAATTATATGAGAAATTGATAAAAGGACAAAAGAAATTATATTACAATGCTTTTGGGAAATGGGTATTTCTTTGTCACGTATTTTTACTACAAATATGAGACAAGAGGGGTACTTTATTACATAATGAAGAATGCAAAGTATTTTAAGAAGTGACCATAGTCCTATGGCCAAGAGTCATATAATACTTCAGTCTGTATAGACTCTTTAACCCTAAACCTGCTGAAATTTGTAATTAACTTGTCTGCTTTCGAATTTTGCAACTGTCCATTATTAGTTTCAAGGGTATATCAAGATAATTTTTTTTAGTTTTATCACCCAGCAGTTATTATAGAGCCTGGTCAGACTGCATGGATGTGCAGGCTGGCATGACCCTTTACTAAAGTGGCAATATTTTTTTGGGGCTGAATTAATCTCTTTCAATTGAAACAAATTAAATGCTAATTGATTATTTCAGGGATAGGGAAGTGGAATGCCGATGTGACCTGTAACAAGCGACCTGTCAACAAAGCTGGAACTAGACACAATATGAAACCATGTTGCCTTGGTTTGAAAGGACAGTGTCGCCTCATGTCTCACAAGCACTGTGCCTTTCTCGGTGGAGAATTTTACCTGTTTGGACCGGAACATTGTAGTCAGGTAAAACTATGAACCTAGTTGCTTCCCGGTCTAAATTTCCTTCTATTCTTAAGATGGAGAATCAGTACTTATGGGTATGTAGTTATAGCAGGATTGAATTAATTAATGGTAGTTGCATCACTTTGAAATTTGTCAAACTTATTTTATAGAATTTAAAATACAGTTTGCCAAAGTTTGTCTGCCAATGAAATCGCTCTATTTTGTTTAAATTTTGCCAAAATATTTACCAAACAGTGCTGTAACTGAACTGTATGTATTAAATTCATATGTTAAAAGATCTGATGTAATGGACTTCACCTATTTACATAATGCCAATACTAGATTTGAATGGGCGGGGCTAACTGTAAGTAAGTGATAGGTTATAAAACTAAATTTTTAAAACTTTGTATGTCATAAACCTTCCTATAACCTATACATAATGAAAATAGAAGATAAATCCTGATAAAATGTATGGATTTCTTATTACAATTGTAATATCTTAATAAAAATTCTGATGTTTGTTATAAAGGTGATGTGCCTTGAGAACATATGTCACCCTGGTCGAGTTACAGCTTCCGGTTTATTACCATGGCAACCAGACTCTCCTGCCCAGTGGTGGCGTGTACCACTTTCACTACTTTATCACCATGGCATTATACAGTTTCTTGTTGTCATGGTCACGCAGTGGTTTCTCCTCACTCAAATAGAGGTGACAGCAGGCTGGTTTCGAATGCTCATCATTTATATTATCTCAGGCACAATGGCTTTGCTGGTAAGTAGATAAACAAATAAAAAGTTTGTTAGTCCCCTACCGGTTTACCGGAGGGGACTTTAGGTTTACCCTCCGTCCGTCTGTCCGTCCGTCCGTCTGTCCGTCCGTCCGTCTGTCCGTCTGTCAGTCCGTCAGTCCGTCCGTCCACAAAACTGGATCCCGCGATAACTTGAAAAGTACTGAAAATATTTTTATGAAACTTTGGTATATGGATAGATGGCAGTATGGAGATTATGCACGTCTTTTTTTTTTCTTCCTATGTTGAAAATTCTGGTTTGCTATGGCAACAAATAGGCTGAAAATATGGCAAATTTTACACATAGACTGGATCCAGTGATAACGCAAAAAAAGTACTGGAAATATTTTTATGAAACTTTGACATATAGGTAGATGGCAGTCTTGGATAATGCACATCTTTTTCTTTTCTTCCTTTGTTGAAAATTCTGGTTGCTATGGCAAACAAATATGCTGAAAATATGGCAAATTTTACACATAAACTGGATCCAGTGATAATGCAAAAAAGTACTGGAAATATTTTTATGAAACTTGACATATGGGTAGATGGCAGTCTTGAGATTATGCACGTCTTTTTCTTTTCTTCCTATGTTGAATATTCTGGTTTGCTATGGCAACACATAGACTGAAAATTTGGCAAATTTTACACATAAACTGAATCCAGTGATAACTCAAAAAGTACTGGAAATATTTTTGTGAAACTTGACATATAGGTAGATAGCAGTCTTGAGATTATGCATGTCTTATCTGTTCTTCCTATTTTGATAAAATATCAGTTGCCTTGGCAACACAATAGGCTTAAAAAACATGGAAAATATAACAATATTTGTGATTAGTCAAAAAGAGCTGAAAATTTTTGTGAAAATTGCATCTTTAATTCAAGAGTTATCTCCTCTTTAAGAATTTTGCTTTAAAATGTTATATTTTGGTAACAGGGATGTTTCAAATATTAACTTTAGAGTGTCCTCAGTCCGTCTGTCTGTCTGTTCATAAAAACTGTTTCCTGTGATCGCTTTTAAAGAACTTTTCCAACAAATTTACTTAAAATAGAAAAAAATTGAAACATTAGTGAATGGCCAATGGCCCTTCAGAATGTTGATGGGGTTCTAACCGGTAGGGGACTTATGGATTGCTTGCAATACTATGATAATTGCTTGTTGCTTATGTTCTAAAAGAATTCTGTAGAAGAAATAAAGGGAGAGAGAAAAATCTTCAGATCTTGTTATAACTTAAAATTTTTCCCAATTTCTCTCCTGAACTTATTTTTTCCTTGCTAATAAGATTATTCATAAATTCATAAATGTTTGCTGTGCACAGTTTTTATAGCATGCAATTTTTAGTAAAGGTAATGTCAGTATATAAAAGAATACATAAACAAAAACCATACAAAATTCTCATGTCTTAAACAAAGGATTTGATTTATGATAGTTTCTTTTTTTATTTTTAATAAAATTATTCTGCTTAAGGAAATAAAGTGTATATAATTGCTCTAAGGAAGAGCTCAGTTAGTAATTATAGAGTTAATAGCTGTTTTATTTCTCAAGGGTCATCATTACATTACCACCAAGTGGTAGTGTCCCAGACTCGTCGCTTGCCCCTCCCAACAAGGGTTGTAAATTTAGTTATTAGAACTTAGAGGAAACTAAGGCAGCTAATTTTCATACATCAGATTAGTAGTTCTACTTGAGTGCCATCTTGATATGTATTAAAATTTGCATGGGGCAGTACAAATAAAAAGTCACTAAATGGTATCTAATGCTGGTATTGACAACTAAATTGAAGCCAAGCGATAAGAACTAGGACATAAATGTATAACAGCTATTCAGCTATTTAAATGACTTTTTCCTTGAAATTAGACAAACTTTTCAACAGCACCTCTTTATGTTTCAGACTTTCAACGCTATATTTTGAATTTAAATTTTTTCAGACATCAAGTATAATGTTGCCATACGAAGTACATGTAGGTGGGATGGGAGCTGTGTGTGGAATGCTCGGTGTGGTAATCATTGAACTCTTCCATTTCTGGAAACTTGTGGACAGACCATGGCTCGAGCTTTTGAAATTATCAGTTGCAATTATCCTTCTATTTCTCCTTGGTACTTTACCATATTTGGACATTTTTGGAATGATAACTGGTTTAATAAGTGGCGCCCTCTGTGGAGTAATATTTTTGCCGTATGTCACATTTGGAAAGTGGCATTGCCCCGTGAGAGTTATTTTGATTGTTAGTGCATCAGGTCTACTGATTTTAATTTGTTACTTCCTATTGCATTTGTTTGTTGCTGTTCAGAGTTTAGAGAATTGTGAGGGTTGTAAGAAGTTAAATTGTGTGCCATATACAGAAAAAATGTGTGACACATCCCTGTGGCATCAGTTTTAGAAATTAATATGCATACAATTGTAAATCAAGTGTTAGCAATTAAACTATTTTTTGTACAGAAATATTGATGAGAATAAAATGTATTCATATGAACTTTTTTAGAACAAAGAATTTCTTCAATTGAAAGATGCTACGTTTTATGAAATAAACACGTAATTATAGAAACTGTTTCTGATTATGAGTCATTTATTAATCTACTGATCACTAAGTGCCCTGATGCATACTGACAGGATTTTGTGATTCAGACATTTTTGGGGAAATTATGGCCCTTTTTTTCCCAAATCAGAAATACACTTGTTCTCAACTGCTTCTCCATTTCTCATGAGATTTTGACTAAACATTCACAAAAGTTTTGTTTTAAATTGTAAAATGCTGACAATATGCATCAGCAACAAGGGCCCATGATGAATTTTGTGAAATAATATGCTGAAAACCTCCTGTCT